TATGAATGAATCAATTCCCACCTCATTTTGTCGGAATATATTCAGTTTGCTGCATACGGAGACGTGCACAATCAAATCATACACTCGCCATTACTAAAGCTATAACGCAATACGAAAAAGTTGATCGTGCATGTAAACCATGAAGTGTTTATAATACGTCGATTGCCTAACCGGAAGCCCACGTTGCACAGTACTGTCCCCCTGCCACCACAGAGCCGATAACTGTGTTTGAGCACAAGCGGACTGTACGCAATTTTGGGACCCATCAAACTTTGTCCTTGCTGTGGAATCAGTCAATTAGGTCAATTAGGATCTTCGTCCCTCTGCGTTCACAATAGTTTCGTTGTCTTGAATGCTTGCACTACCTTTGCCCAAAAAATGTAAACAATCGGTTTATACAGAACTGGTGTAGTTTCACCGTACAACGAAAAATGAACTGAAACTTGTAATATTTAGCATAATATTAGCGCACGCCGACAAATTCCTGAAAATGGAAAGCTTACAGCAAAGTTTGGCCACCTATTTAGTGTTTTCGGTGAGAGTATTGTGCTTTTGAGACCAAACACGCAATTTCGTATAGCATGTGTAGAATTCATATAGGAAATAGGATACCGCCAATAAGCAGAGTGCAACCATCCCTCGATTTTTGCTACATTTATCAAGAGGAGACCGTGATCATAAGTTGTATGACGTAGAAAAGTTGGACTCAAAGTACCCGGCATGTGATGCAAATACCGTAGTTCATACCATAAACTTGAGGTTGAAATCTGAAGGGCATTTTCCTAATACTTGATGCATGAAATTTGTATTAAGCAATCTCGTACTCGGCCGAGATACTCACCGTCAAATTTCTCACATAAAAGATTTTATCCAGGTATAGCGACAGAAGGTGATATAGACAGCGAGATAATTGGCTATTAAGAAGCAATCAAACTTTGGATTGCCAATACGCAACTTGCCAAATGCAGACAACCAGACAACAACGTCTCGGATGGTTAGTCCGGTATGCTTCAGGAAGTTTTAATTATAGCAATCGTCACAGCTCCCAGTACAACAGTAAATCACATTGCCTTGAACTGACAGGCTTTTGACTTCAGAATGCATTAGTCATAATTACCTCCAATATCCAATATCATTTCGCACTACCCGGGATATCAATCAACACCAGGAGGGCGGCTGTAGTAAGATACTAATCTGATTCACAAAAGAATCACAAAATTTTTCTTTAAATAAAAAACCTTCTGCTTGACGGCAATTTTCTAATACTTCGATTTAAGGCTATATAATTGGCTAGTAAGAACGTGCACGATCTTAGCTTTGATTAGCTGTGTTTTGCTCTTTCCGGATCGATTTTGTTCATGAGTCTCAAAGGCAGGAAGACAGTCTCTCTCTTTGCAACGCACACATAATGACCCGCTCAGGGTTCAAATCTCAATTAATCATCCGTAGTGGTGAAGAGTAAACCATCACCAATTGCACAATTGCACATGCCTTTCCAGCCATGCCATCTGCTTGTTAAACGTTGCTCCACGGCATAAGGTCAACAACAACGAGTGTGCTGCCATCCACCATACGCTCCTTTCAAGGAGCCTCGACGGGGTGGGCTTTATAGCGGCCAGCGGTGACGACAGGGTCTGGTAGCTTAAGCAACCGCGCAAGGAACGTGATCTCGTGCTAAACGAGAGTTGAAATTGCATTCTTGGTTTCTCTGACTATTTATGTGAAAGCGATGCGCAGGGATTGTAATCCCAGTGGACCCTGTGGCAAGGCACTCCAAGAGCCCAGCAACGAGAGGAAGGACGGCGTGTCCTTCCTCCATGGGTGAATTTATAAAATCTCCTGTTGCAAAATTCGAAACCAATCAATATCCCTGTGACAACTTCCTAGAAAAGTCTACCAGGGCATTCAGGTTTGCAAAATCCCTCTATTGAGGATGAATTTTGTCAATTTCTGAATTTTTATTATGAATTTATAGATGTATAACGATGATCAGTGTCGAATAGGACTACATTACGCCAAACCCTAATGCAAATATTGCCAATGTTTGGCCAAGAGCTAATACTGATATTGCCCAACTAGGCAACAACTGCTTCGTAAAAAATTTCCAGCTTACCATAGCTACTGAATAACGATGACCATTGACAAGGGGGGTATATTCGTGGTTTCAACCGGAAATGTTACTAAATACTATTGCCTTCTCGCTTTGCCCGGCTGCTAGGGCTCCCTGGAGGGGGGCTGGTTTGTTTTCTGAAATTTCGCGAACTGTTGCTTTTACCGGAACGCGGGTCCTCTTATCCGGACTGTCCATCTTTCCAGGTGCGCATGACGGGATTGAATTCGTCGGAAAGAGTAGCGGATGCCCGGAATCGAACCGAGGACCTTGAGGTTACAAATCGGACGCTCTACCACTGAGCTACTGAGCTAATTGCAACGCTGTATGTGTCCCTGGTCGCCTGGAGCGCCAGTGTTCGACGACTATTTCGCGACCCCAGTGGACGACACTGACCGACGTCACATCAACGGCGCTCTCCTTGCTCGGCCAACACGCACACTACTCGTGGTTTTGGGCTCGAAATCCTCGGGCCTTCTCCCTGCCTCGTAGTCTTCACCTTACCATTGCGACATATCGCATCGATTTGTCACTCGGTGATTATCCCATATTTGACTACATATTTATTCTCCCAATAGAAGAAAGTACTTCAGGGTAATATGTCAAATACACCCCGATTAAAATTGCGATTATTAGCTTGCTGTTCAATCGGGTTATGTCAATTACACGCTGATTGAGATGCTTAGCTAAATGCGACTCCACTGTAAAGACGATCAGTGTCAAAGGGGCGTGCAGTAGAGAGTTAGTGTGGTTACCAATGCTAACGTTGTCATAGGGCTCATCCCAAGTCCGGGTACCGATGTTGTGGTGCCTCGGTGTTCACTGAAGGGTGTGTTTGTTGGTTTCGTGGAATTTCTGCTTTTTGCGTTTCTTGGGCTTTTGGATGTAAATAGAGGTTGCGATCTTGAGGGTGATTCAAGCCGGGGCAGCAGGCTTAATTAGTGCGAGATGGCTTGGTCGTGCATACGAGCATACGGGGAGCACTCCCATGATGACGCCGAGAACGAGATGGCACTGCCGTGGAAGAGGGAGACAGACACACGCCATGGGATGGTTCGCGCTCAATGACCTTCGGCAGTGGATGTCGAGAACCAGTGTACTCTTCCGTGGGAGAGGGTGGCAACGACGTGCCATGGGGTGGCACGGGTACTTGTGGTGGCGTATACTCAGGTGACGCGGTCATGGCATTCGCATGAGAACGTGGACAACAAGATGGCACGTCCGTGGGAGAGGCTGGCAATGACGTGCCATGGGGCGGCACGGGCACTTTGGATGGCGCTGGCGCGACGACAGTCACAGGAGAATGCAGAGGACGAGACGCAAAGGCCATGTACGCGTTGTGGTTCCTTGTCGGAGGCAGTACTGGAGGTGACGCTAATCGACTCGTGCGTTGGGCAAGGAGGTGATCGAGACGCTCCCATCTTGCGATGAGCTGCAGCATGTGGTCATTGGTGAACTCAGGAGGAGCGGGAACGTCTCTATCGCCGTAGAAACAAGCTCGACGGTGAGGGACAACGACGGTGTGGCACGAGATGCACTCGGCTCAAGAAACTGACAATTCAAGTTGAAGTCAATTCCCAGATACTGTGGGCATACACAGTCAGAGAACCGTAAGTAGGCGGAATCACGGGGTAGGTCCGTGCAGGAGACAGCATAGACAACGCTGAAGTATGGCGCCCGAGGTCGATGGGCGTCATGCGTCCAAGAAGAGGGATTTAGAGACATACGATTGGTTGAAAAACCGATGGTTGCGATCGAGCAGGGTTTCGATTGGGTGAGGTGAGCATGACGTCCGGAAAACATGCACTTGCCCCATGAGCGGAAAAAACGGAAGCTGTAAAGGCGGTCAGTGTCAAATACGACTTTATTAGGATTTCTCCTAATGCTAATATTGCCCAATGGGCTCACCTAATTCCAAATGCCATTGCAGGTGCAGTAGTGCAGAGTAATCGTGAGTCCGACGTTTGAGGCGGTCGACCGAGGAACGTTCTTGGAGCCAGACCTTGAGGATGATGGGCACCACTTGGCTTCGAGGCACCGGATT